CAAGTGGTAGAGCGCTAGCCTTGAGCTGAAGAGCTGAGGGACAGCGCCCAGGCCCAGAGTTCAGGCCCCACAACCGGACCCCCCCCAAAAAAAAATATTTAGATCCAAGTTCATAATACTTGCAAACAAACCTCATTGGCCACCCATGGGGAATGGCAGGGGATCAACTTGGTATTCTGAAAATTAGCAAATCATTTTCTAGGCACTGGTGGCTCATGCCTATAATCCTAGCAACTCAGGAGGCTGAGATCTGAGGATCATTGTCCAAAGCCAGCCAAAGGAGACTCTTATCTCCGATTAACCAACCCTGAGTTCAAGCCCTAGTAATGGAACACATACACACACAAATTGGTTGAGAGTTATTTGAATGATGGATGATGGATACAGAGAAAAAAATGGTTGTACTATCATCTTTTTTTTTTTTTTGGGTCCAGTCCTGGGGCCTGAACTCTGGGCCTGGTCGCTGTCCCTCAGCTCTTCAGCTCAAGGTTAGCACTCTACCAACTGAGCCACAGCACCACTTCCAGCTTCTTTTTGCTTATGTGGTGCTGAGAAATCAAACCCAGGGCCTCAGGCATGCAAGGCAAGCACTCTACCACTGAGCCACCTTCCCAGCCCGTACTATCATCTTTACATTGAGGTGTATTTGAAAAAAAAAATTTTTTTGGGGGGGGGGTCTGGTCGTGGGCCTGAATTCTGGGCCTGGATGCTGTCCCTCAGCTCTTCAGCTCAAGGGTAGAGCTCTACAACTTGAGCCACAGTGCCACTTCCGCTTTTTTTTTTCTGCTTATGTGGTGCTGAGGAATTGAACCCAGGGCCTCATGCATGCGAGGCAAGCGCTCTACCACTGAGCCACCTTCCCAGGCCCTATATTTGAAAATTTTCAGAAGTTAAAGAACAGTGGTTGGGGCTGAGAAGTAGGCTCAGTGGTAGAGTGCTTGCCTCACATGCATGAGGCCCTGGGTTCGATTCCTGAGCACCACATAAGAAGAAAAAAAAAAAAGCTGGAAGTGGCGCTGTGGCTCAAGTTGTAGAGCACTAGCCTTGAGCTGAAGAGCTGAGACAGCGTCCAGGCCCAGAGTTCAGGCCCCACAACCATCAAAATAAAAAAAAAGAACAGTGGTTGTCACTATCAGATAGGCAGTAACTTGGGAAAACTTATAAAAATAATGTTCACTTGATAAAACCTGCACAAGCCTAAGGAGAGAGGTTGGTTCTTCTCCATCTGGGGTTAAAGGCCCCCCTACCATGTTCTGTCACATCAAACTCCCTGCCCCATCAACACTGAGGTATCAAGGGAGGGAAGGCTGTTCAGACTCTGTCTTGTAAGACTTATCTTGTTATTTCTGCTCTTCCCACAGCAAATGGTGGAGATATCAAACAAGAAAGCACACGGGACTGTGGGGTTAATCCTACCAGCCTTTAGGGTTTGTGAGCTCAGTGACACTTAGGGAAAGGACAGTCCTCATTCCGTTAACTCTGCAAGCATAACCCATAAATTGAGTACAAACACAACAGTAGAAAAAGCATTAGTGACAGGCACTGGTGGCTCACACTTATAATCCTAGCCATTCAAGAGGCTGAGACCTGAGCATGTTTGAAGCCAACCCAGGCAGGAAAGTTGGTGGCGCATGCCTGTAATCCTAGCTCAGTAGGAGGCTGAGATCTGATAATCTTGGTTTAAATCCAAGCAGGATAGCCCACGAGACTCTTATCTCCAATAACCAGAAGTGTCACAGTGGCTCAAGGTGGCAGAGCACCAGCCTTGAGCAAAAAGAGCTCAGGGGATAGCACCCAGGCTGAGTTCAAACCCCATAACCCTCCCCCCCCCCCAAAAAAAGGCATTAGTATCCTGTACACTAGTGCTTCCAATTATATAGCATTTCCAAGAGTTAGAATTTTGCAAAGTCTGGTGTTTATGATTCATTTTCCTATAGCAAATGTCTATTTATTACATTTGAATTTTAGAGTAAAAATGACTCAGCAATGTGAAGGTGAAGTATGTTCAATGATTTGGGAGCCAACAAATTGGAGCAAAGGCTCAAAGTAAAAAACTAAAAATGACATTTATTTAGTTTTTGAAAATTAAATAACAATTGGCAAAACTCAAAAAGAAAAGAGCTGACATGTTATATGACTGATCAGATCCAAGCACAACATTTATTAATGAATATGAAAAATTTTATTATTTGCTTCCCCCCCCCCAATGTTTACTACATAGACATTTCTGGAAACCTGAGTTCCTAAGAAAATTCTACTGCTCTACCAGCTCCTATGAGTGAGATTAAGGTCCCACCACCATAGAGAAATACGTTTCTATCCCTGGAGGTTTTGAACCACCAGATGCCTAGAAACTTCAAAAACAAGTACTTTCATTAGGATGAGGAACGTGAGGAAAGTGCAGAACACTGTCCAGTGTGGGTAGGGTGCTCTTCAGGTTCTCTGAATTCTCCACGTGACTACAACACCAGGCATCATCTTCTCTGGCAGCTCCTCCTGCAGCCACTGCCACGTTCCTAACTATAGCCAAAACATCCCAAAACTGGAATGAATAAAACTGAAGATCAAATTTTCGTCCTTTCACTTTTGGGAACTGAAGGGTCTCCGCGTAGGAAAGGAAGGAGGTTTTGCATGAAGTTTGCCTTCTATCCCGCACATATGAACTGAGTATGTTCGGCGTACTTACCATCAATGTACAAGGAAGCTAAAGAAAATAAACAAGTCACTCTGAACTAAGCCCCTCAAAACAGAGGCAAATTTGGTGAACTAAGGCCACTGCCTATGGTAAAACCACAGGTCACTGTGGTCCTTTGCTGAAGAACTGTGTTAATCTCCTGATTCAGGAGGAATCTCTGGTGAGGACAGAGAATAGAAAGAAAGCTTAACTTCAGGCGACACCACATGGAGCATTAGAGTTGTAGTTCAGTCTACAGCATGACATGGAAGCATCACTGATAAGAGCTGGAACACACACACACACTCCTGGAACATCTTCCTTAATGCAGCTTAATGGCGGATGCCCAGATGTCATTGCTGGGGAGCGGAGGAAGGACCCATCCTTGGGGAACAGAATTGCCTTTGGGGTGATCCGATGGTACAAGGTACTGATCCCAATCATGCCTTAATAACAAAAGTATAGAACAACTGTTTATTTCTATTGTTTTTCCAAGCAAGATGTTCAGCAACTAAATATTTCTAGGTCTAAGATTTCAAACAACTCATCTTAGTACAAATCTACTATATAACTTGATTACTAGGAATTATACACAAAGTTATTTAGTACTGAGTTTTCTATTGTGTCTCTTTACTGATGATTTCACTGTTTTAAGATGGCCCTTGGGAGTCTTAGTGAAAAACTGCTAGGCATTGGTGGCTCAAGCCTGTCATTTAAACTACTCAAAAGGCTGAGATCTGGTGGATTGTAGTTTGAGGGTAACCCAGGCAAAACGTATGCCAGACTCCATCTCCCATATAAACAGCCCAAAACCAGGCTGAAGGTATAGTTCAAGTGGTAGAGCATATAGTAAAGCAAGCTAAGCTAGCATAAGGCTGCTGAGTTTGAGCCTGGGTACCAATATATGTATGTTCACACACAAAGAGTCCTGCTAGGGGCTGGGAAGGTGGCTCAGTGGTAGAGCGCTTGCCTTGTATGCCTGAGGCCCTGGGTTCGATTCCTCAGCACCACATAAGCAAAAAGAAAAAAGCCGGAAGTGGCGCCATGGCTCAAGTGGTAGAGCGCTAGCCTTGAGCTGAAGAGCTGAGGGACAGTGCCCAAGCCCAGAGTTCAGGCCCCACGACCGGACCAAAAAAACAAAAACAAAACAGAGTCCTGCTAAGGTGCCAGCTAGTGCTGCTAAGTGTAAGAGAGCTGTGAGGTGCCTTATCTAATATGTGAATTGTATAAGCTTCATTCAGACACGGATTATATGCACTTAGCCATGAGGTTAATACTAATGAATGTATTTAATAAGCTATCTTCAAAGAGAAATATATAAGAAATAAGGTGCTGTGACCAGGAGTTTGCAGGCCTCTACCTAACCCTGTATTTTGGGGGGAGGCTAGAAAACAACAAAGTGCTATTAGGCAACCACAAATTTAAACTGCTTGGAAAACCCACGCAATCAATTTGTTTCACCTACTGATTTCTGAAAAGACTACATTTGGGAAAGGTTGATGTTACAGTTTGGCATTTTACAGAGGAAGAGAGTAAGATGGGGACATGGGAGCTGGACCCCCAGCTCATGTGTTCTCATGGGACTGTTCAAGCCTGGGTCCTAAACAGTATCCATAGGCAACTACTTCATATAGGGTGGGAGGATGGAGGGGAAGAAAGGAAAGAGAAGGGCGCTTCTTTTTTTTAGGGTCTGTTTAGCACCAGAAAATAATTAAGAAAACAAAGTCACACCTCTGTGTATGTGTTACCCAGGGCTCTCCAGTGGAAGAGGCCAGCGCTCCTCAACTTGAGCCACAACCCAACACCTTTGTTTTTGAAGTAGATTTGCTACCCTACCTCAGCCTGGCCTTGAACTTGTAATCTTCTTGCCTTTGCCTCTGCAGTAGCACAGATTACAAGTGTGTTCCAACAGATTTGGCTAAAGACAATGGTTTAAATTAATTAAACAGCTATAGAAAAGGGCAAGTCACAGGCTGAGTTAGTTTCTTTACTGTTATAATGAGACACCTACTTCACAAGGATTAGTGAGGACTGTCAAGTAAGACATACAAGGCTCAAAATTCGGTAACAATATAAACCCGTAAAAACTTTCCTGCCCTCTGACCTTATCTGGATGAGCGCTGGCAGGGAGTGCTCAGCCTGGAGATAATACTGTTGGAAAGGCTGCAGGAGGTGAGCAAGTGGGAACTCGTCTGAAAGAGAAGAGGCACAGGACTATGTCAGTACATGTATCAAGAACACTTCTAAGGCAGTGACTAGGCCTGGGATGACAATAGGTTCAAATGTGTTTTGTTTGTAGATGTGACTTTCACATTACAGTTTAGAATCTTAAATTGTCATCCATCTCTTGGCTGAAGTTGTGAATGAATGAATGCTTAATAATAAAAAGAGCTGTCAAAAAAGGAGAAAATTTCCTTTTCTGTACTACATATAGAGAAACTTACCTGGATCCCCAAATAGCTTATATTCAATTTCACGTTGCTGAAGTAACATTTTCTCCTTTTCTTTTCTCTGTTTCTTTTCCAATTCTCTTTTCCTCTCTTCCTCTTGTTCTCCCTCCAACATAACTCTGAGGGCTCTCTCTTCAGCTTCATACAATTCAGAACGCTTTTTAATGAGTTTTCTCAGCCGCTGAAGATGATGCTCAAAAGTCTCATCCGCTGATGCCGGAGGACAGACCCCTGAGCAACAACAGACACATGGCATTTCAGACACAACTTTTTCTTATTCCAGAGACACTTTGTAGTGAGTAGACTCCAAGTTCTAACTATAACTATGAATCTGTTTAAAATCCAGAAATCTTACCTTCAATGCTGTTTTTTGTTTGTTTTTTTGGTCCAGTCGTGGGGCCTGAACTCTGGGCCTGGGCGCCGTCCCTCAGCTCTTCAGCTCAAGGCTAGCGCTCTACCACTTGAGCCACAGTACCACTTCCGACTTTTTTCTTTTTGCTTATGTGGTGCTGAGGAATCAAACCCAGGGCCTCATGCATGCAAGGCAAGCACTCTACCACTGAGCCACCTTCCCAGCCCCCTTCAATGCTGTTTGATGTTTCGTTTTTTTTTTTTTTTTTTTTTGGGGGGGGGGAGTGAGGCAGGAAATTTTTCCTATCTCCATTTTTCCTTCTTTAACCTGTTATACTAAAACAAATCCTTGCTAAACTTTCACCTTGTGAGAGTCTTTTTGTGAAATACTCTGAAAAGCTTTTCATGAGTGGATCTCAAGGACCTGTGATTTTGTGTGGAAACTAAGGAGCAGATGGAAGCCTTCAGAGAAGATTGGGAAGAGGATGTGAATGAAGTAGTCAGGACTAGAGCAAATTAGATCCCACGAGGCATACATTCAGATTACATTTTGCCTTTTCCAATGATTTTACTGGGCTTACAACTCAGAGCCTTGCCCTTCTTGCTAGTCAGGTGCTCTAATACTTGAGCAATGGCTCCTGCACAAAAATATCCATTTTGACAAGAATTATAATCTTCACTCTTATGTACTGTATACTTTTTACTTTAGTTGGACATACCCATAGTGAACTTGATTGTGAACAATTCAAATAAGGTCATTCTACTTCTAATGCCTTTCCTCGTATTAAAACAAGGGTCAGTGTCACTCACAAAGAAGAGATGATCTTAACACCAACTGAAGCTGCTATTGAAGACACCCAGAAGACAGGTGTCAACATTTGCAACACATCAGGCTGCAACAGAACCTACAAATGCTTTAGATAGTACCAAGAATCTACATGTACTACTGTGAATCAGGGACTTCCAAGAAATTGCCCAGTTCCTCTGAAATATACAGTGACTCAAAGCTCTTTGGACATAACAAAATGACTCTGCTTTAAAGATATTACTAAAAGGGGTGAAGATGCATTAAGGAAAAATAGTTTAATTGGGCCAGATCAAAAGAAACTAGAGAGAAACTCCCATAGCCTCAGAGGCTTTATAGCTACTGATGAAGAGCTGTACAAAGCAATATTGCCTGTCACTTATCACACAGATTCCTTCAGCCAAATGAGTCTTCAGAACACGGATCTCTAAAACAAATGAAAAGAGGCATGTATTCACCACTGACTGTGAAAATAAGATCTACTGAAAAACAGGACTTACATGCTAAATCTGATGACTCAAAGGTACATTACCATAACTTTATTTTAAATTCTGTGTGTGGGGGGGAACCAGGGGGGAGGTGGTGGTAATAACAGTCCTGACCTGGATGCTATCCTTGAGCCTGTTTGCTCAATGCTAATCCTTGAGCCACAGCTGTACTTCTGGATTTTGGGGGAAGAGTCGCACCAGCCGGGCACTGGTGGCTCATGCCTGTAATCCTAGCTACTCAGGAGGCTGAGATTTGAGGATCGAGGTTCAAAGCCAGCCTGGGCAGGAGAGACCGTGAAACTCCTATTTCTAATAAACCACCAGCTCAAGTGGTAGAGCGCTCGCCTTGAGCTGAAGAGCTGAGGGACAGCGCCCAAGCCCAGAGTTCAAGCCCCACGACTGACCAAAAAAAAAAGAGTCGCACCAACTTTCCTCCCCAGGCTGACTTTAAACTGCAATCCTCAAATTTTAGCCTCCTGGGCAGCTAGTATTGTAGGCATGAGCCACTATGTTGCTTTCTCATAATAAGATTTTGTGTGTATGTGTGTGTTTCCTCCATTTCTTTACTTTTTGTCTTTCCATAAAGGGTCAGAGAAAGTAATGTTTTGGTTCCTAACAGTCTCTATTGCTACTACTAAACCTGCTGGCTAAGCAAATATGATACATTCCATCATCCCAGGAGTATCTCCAGTCCACAGGAACTGTGCAGCCTGCTCCCACCCCGGGCTGCCAGGTCTGGGCAACCCACCCACAGGTCCTTAACCACTCAATGACCACTCCTTAGTGAATGTGACACAGTTCCTAGAAAATGGCACTCTTTACCCAGTATTCATGTGATCAACAAGTACTGGCACCATCTCATTTCTCTGCCTGTTTAAGCTTCCTCATTCTTACAGATCCCAAACACCAATGCTCTGCCTATATTCCTCCCCCTCAGCAACATACACCCTGGGGCCTGGTCCAGTCTTTGAGATCTTGACATGATCAGAAAAAAACTTGCCAGCTCTCAAGTATAAGCCTGATTATTAACTTAAGACTTCAAGTTTCTTCTAAAGACTGTTAGCTTCACTGGAGCTTCCAGACCTACACATCAGATTCTCTCTTTCTATTTTCCCTCTCCAAAACGCATGCATACTTCAGAAAGTAAATTCCAGCAGTTCTTTGCTCTCTGCTCAACCATCAGCTGCATATGACTCCTGGAAGAAGCCATGTGAATATGTGACCAGGTGCCAGGTTTATCCACTGGACCCATAATAATAGCTGTTATTTCAAAACTTCACTACTCTTATCTCAGCAAGCCATCTAATCTACTTCCCAGAAAAAAATGAATCTGCAAGCAGGAAATGCTCAACTCTCTGTCACTAGTTGCACTCACTTGCTCTATTATCTATACATCCTTGCCTCCTTCCTTTCCATGTCCCAGGAAGATGGGCGCTTCTCCACTTGTAATTCTATCTGAGATCCAAATCACCCTACCTTCCAGGAGACACTGAGCCACAATTATCTCTCCTGCTTCTTTCTTTGCCCCTTCCACTTGTACTCACTTTTTCCCTCAGCACTTAAACATGCTGTTTCCCGTAACACCCAACATACACACTAGATCATTACCACCCGCACCACCCACTGCCAGATCCTGAGCTTGTGCTCTCATTTTCCATACAGGCAATCTTTAATAAGTTAATTCTGTTTGCGTTTATCTTTTATGTATTCTCCACTTAGGCGATCCAGCTTCTACCCCCACCACACCATTGAAATGCTCTGGCATAGGTCTCTGGTGATCTGTTGGGCACTAATTCTCATGAATGTTTCTTTGCCTTTATAGTACTTGGTAGTAAAAAGCCTTCTTGTTTGACCTTTCTAGTAATAAAAAGAGATGGTGCCAGGTACCAGTGGCTCATGTCTGTAATCCTAGCTACTCAGGAGGCTGAGATCTGAGGATCACGGTTCAAAGCTGGCCTGGGCAGTAAAGCCAGGAAGACACTTATCTCTAATTAACTACTAAAAAAAAACAAACCCCAAAACAAAGAAACAAAAACAGCTGAAAATGGATCTGTGGCTCAAGTGGTAGAGCATTAGCCCTGAGCACAAAAGCTAAGGGGACAGCACCCAGGCCCAGAGTTTAGACCCCAGAATCAGCACCAAAAAAAAAAAAAAAAGCAGGAGGTTAATGCTTGGCACCGGTGGCTCATGTCTGTAATCCTAGCTACTGAGGATTTTGGTTCAAAGCCAGCTGGGGGCAGGAAAATTCCAATTAAACACCAAAAATAGCCAGAAGTGGGGCTGTGGCTCAAGCTGTAAGAGCACTAGCCTTGAGCAAAAAAAGCTCAAGGACACTACCCAGGAACTGTGTTCAGCTCCAAGACATCTCCCTCCGCCCCTCCCCCCCACCTCACCCAAGAGATGGTGTACTGTAGCAGATGCTAACTTACCCTGTCTTATAAATGCCCTAAAAGAACCATACTGGGGTCATCTGATTCTAAGGACTAGATGTGGATCAGCTACTCTAATCGCTGGATGCAGGAGGCAGTCACTTAGCTGTGAATGAGCATGGATAAATGTACAATGGTCCCATCACAATAAAACTTTACTAAAGGTCTAAAAGATTCAGTTCCCATTTATATTTTAAACCACACAGGGGAAACTATTTGGTAAGATTGACACTTATTAATTTATGTATTCTGAAATATCCCTGGTGAAAGTGAATGTTTAAGGTCTTCCACTCTCTACATTAGGCACAAGTGAGGAGCAGGAGAAACCTCAGTAAATCAGCAAGTATGGAGGAGGGTGCATCTGTACTTAGTTTTGAAGGAAAATGGGATCTTAAAATTGCTAAGGTGGGACTGAGTGCCTCCAGACCAACAGACTGACAAGAGCAAAGATTGAAACAGGCAAATGGAAAAGTACCACTTCAGGTAACTCCAAAAACCCAGTATGACTGGGACCTACTTTTGTGAAAAGGCTTCACTGCTTGGCTAGGGTATGTGGTGCATCCTCCAGTGGTAACAGGAGACCGCTGAGGTCTTCTGAGTTCAAAAGTGACATGAAGAAAAACTAGGGACATCTAGACTCCCTGCCCTATTGAACCATTCGTATCTCTTCAAAAGGCAGTAATTCAGACCCGAAATGCATCTGAAGAACATGCTAAATACTTTTTTGAAACAGCAAGAAAGGGTAAGAAAGTTTTCAACTTGTTGGGGCTGGGAAGGTAGCTCAGTGGTAGAGTGCTTGCCTTGCATACATGAGGCCCTGGGTTCGATTCCTCAGCACCCCATAAGCAGAAAAAGCCGGAAGTGGTGGCGCTGTGGCTCAAGTGGTAGAACGCTAGCCTTGAGCTGAAGAGCTGAGGGACAGCACCCAGGCCCAGAGCTCAAGCCCATGACCAACAACAAAAAGAGAGTTTTCAACTTGTTGTGTAGACATGTTACGGGTAGAAATAAGGAAGTAAGGGAAAACAGTCAGTAGGTTCTCACACCTGCCTTTCTTCCCAACTGGCTGCTTCAAAAGATCTGAGCTAGGAGCTGGGAAGGTGGCTCAGTGGTAGAGCATTTGCCTTGCATGCATGAGGCCCTGGGTTCGATTCCTCAGCACCACATAAGCAAAAAGCCAGAAGTGGCGCTGTGGCTCAAGCGCTAGAGCGTTAGCCTTGAGCTGAAGAGCTGAGGGACAGCGCCCAGGCCCAGAGTTCAGGCCCCACGACCGGACCCAAAAAAAAAAAAAAAGATCTGAGCTACTGCTGACAAGCCCAGTTACTTCAGGAATAATAAGAATGAAATGCAATTATTTGTCTTTAAAAGATAGTTGGAGAGGCACTAGGGTAAAAGGGGAGGAATCCAAGTGGAAATGCAAAGCCATCATTACCTTTCCTTGCTGCAGCCTCTTTTCTCAGTTTCCTCAGTTTCTCCAGAGCTCGAAGAATGTCCACCATTCTTTTGGTGTCACCTTGCTTTTTCCTTACTTCAGATAAGACACCATCAGCAGCAGCTTTGAGTTCTTGTTCCTGGAAGGAAAAAAAGAGCCCACAAGATCGTGTATTAGGAACAACTTTCTAGCAGAAGTTCCTCTTTAGAGGCTCAGTCCCATGGTGAAGATACTCTCTTCTATGTTCCCATTTCTTAGGCCTGGCACAACTCTCCTATACAATGGCTCCACCAAGGAATTATCTTCTTCCAGTGATCACACAACCTTCTGTTTTGTTTTTTTTGAGGCAAGTTCTCACTGCAGCCCAGGCTAGCCTGGAACTCTCAAGCTTCCAGCTTCAGCCTCCCAAGTAGTGGCATTAACTGACACATATACCACACCTGGACAATTGGACAACTTTTTTTTCCCCCTTATTTTTTTTGTGCCAGTCCTGTGGTTTGACCTAGGGGTCTGGGCGCTGTCCCTGAACTTTTGTGCTCAAAGCTAGTGCTCTACCACTTTGAGCTACAGCTCCACTTCCAGCTATTTGGGTGATTAATTGGAGATAGTCTCATTGATTTGCTGGTCCAGCCTGACTTTGTACTGTGATCCTCAGATCTCAGCCTACGGAATAGCTAGGATTACAGGCATCCAGACTGTACAACCTTGCTAAAGGTTCTTCTGCTTGGATTACTCCTTGTGCCTGGAACCCCATCTGCTGCTCTCACTTGGTTTTGACATTTCTCTCCAGGTTCTGCTGAGATGTTCTATCTGGGAAGCCTTTCCTCTAAAGGTTTACATATCACTTCTCTGGGCCCCTTATCATACCTACAGGTGAAATCCTAACACACAACACAGTATACTGTCATGATTCCCCATGAGGATGCAGGCTTTGAGGGACAAGGTCTAGGTCCTATTCATCTTTATTCCTGGTAACACACAGGACCTAAAGGGTCCACACTATATTTCTGCTGAATTGATCCTTATTTCCTCCAGTTTAAGTGTTGCCTCTCCAGCAATGATAGTTCTGCGTGTACAAAGACAAAGCTCAACATCAATATATTCAATGGTGAAGTTCTATCAGTATCTTGGGTAATAGCAGATGCTACTGGATTGTGGACAGAATGGGGGTAGAGGAAACCCCAGAGGCACTGAAAGGAAATAAGAATGCCTTAAATATGTGCCCAATTTCCAGTTTCACCCTGGTCCTGCTCAGAGCTTGAGATGGGTAGGCCTTTTTTGGGGGGGGGGCGGGGAAGCATTAATCTGAGACATCAACTCAAGGTCTGGGCACTCTCCCTGAGCTATTTTGCTCAGGGCTAATGTTTTACCACTTGACACAGCCCCACTCTGGCTTTCTGGTGGTTAATTAGAGATGAATCTCAAGTTTTTCCACTGGGCTGACTTCAAACTGTAATTCTCACGTCAGCCTTCTCAGTAGCTACGATTACATATATGAACTACCAGTGCCCAGCTTTTTTTTTTTTAATTTGAAAGTAAAAGGAATTCCAAAAAGTAGCAAGACTGTATTCTGAGAGGGGATCTCAAATCAGAGTCCCTACACAGGATCTGAAATCAGACACCATAGGTTTAAATCAGAAATATAACTAGTGAAGTGGTTGTGTGATTGTTGGCAAGTTAATCTTTCTATACCTTAATTTCCTACTCTGTAAAGTTTGAATAATTCCTCCTATTTCTCAGGGCTTTTACGAAGATTCAGTACCTCATGTATGAAAGTCAGTCCTCCAAATCGCTGATTTTGTAGGTTATATGGCTTAAAGTAACAAATGGATCTTGTGGATCACTTTTGCTCCTTTAGCCATTTAGGGTTTAGGTTGCTTGAGGCAGAGCACCAAGTTCCCAATATTTTGTACAGAGGGCAGGGCAAGTCCTGTCTTCCCAGCAATACAATGGTTAATTCTATTTGTGTAATTTGTGCTTACAGGAGTTCACTGTACATCCACAGCTTTTGCTTTCTGTGTATCATTAGTTAGCCAACCGTCCCCAATCCTATCATTTGTGTTCAAGGGACTTCACAGTGCGTCCAGATCTTTTGTTTTGTGTGTATCATCAACACGCAATTAATACAGAGGAAAGAGGTGTTAAGACGATCCTTCAAGCTATGCTAACCCCTGGCAACCAGTAGCTAAAGCCTCACGCTGCTTCAGCTTCCAACCATCCCAACAACCACCCCAACTCTACATCCAGAGTGTCGCGGCTCTCACCCGCTTCTTCTCCTCCACCTCCTGCACGCACTTGACCCTCCAGCGGTCAATCTCTATTTCGCGATCCGCCGCCCGCGCGGCCTCCGCTTCCCGCTCGGTCTCCCGTTCCCGGGCCCTCTCACGAAGCCGCAGTCGACGGCGCCGGACCCTCTCCAGCCTCCGCCGCGCCTCACCCACATAGGCGGCCTGGGACAGCGGCTGCAGGCGCTCGGCCAGTTCGGCGCGCAGCGGCGCGGCCTGAGCGTGCAGCC